AACAAACACAATTCAACATATGTATACACACACATAATTGTTTTTGTGTTTCTGTGTACCTGTATGTACATATGGGTGTATAATACATATATATATATATATATGTATATATATATATATGTCTATGTGTATATATATATATATATACATGTGTGTATAATACACACAAACTCACGCTGCAGACAATCGTCTGAAGGAAGCGCCCGTAGAGCAGTACAGCGACGAAGACACACTCACGAGAAGAGTAGGATACACGCAGGCCCTGTAAGCCACTCAGTCTCAGTGCCCTAAGCTGATTCCTTTGTTCCTCCAACGTGTCAAAACGCTTGTTCAGCAACCTTTCCTTTGTATGTAATTACCTCGCTTTAAAGCACAAACGAGCTGGTTGTATTTTATACTCGCACAGACTGGCGCACTCGCACTTGCAACTTTCCATCTCATGAGTTCATTTGTTGTGGTGCCTTTCAGCTATCATATTGCTATGATGTCATTGCCGCATGCCTTTGGCATGGTGTTGACAAGCACTGCTTAGAGTTGCACAGATCTTTACCCACAGTATGAGCATACTGCGCATTACATGAGTACAAGGTTCTGAAATCGCGGCGTTGTACAGTACCCGTATTCCAGTAGCAAGAACGAACACATGTAGTATGCTGCGGTGGAAAAAACTACAACGGTTCTCGGATTCTTGTTTACAGGACTATGTCGACAGCATTGTTGATGCCATATCGCTACGACAGTCGCATTATAAACATTCGTAGCGGCATGGCGCCAACAATGCTATCGGCATAGTACAAGAAATTGGCTGCCTGTCAACACCTGTCAAACTCGGGGGCGTTGGTGTAAAGCGGGACATGATTTTCCTGCGATCCCAAATCTTTGAGCCAACACAGGGTCTCAACACCTGCAACACCTCTACTCCGACTGCCAAATCTACCCAGAAACCGCCCTCTTGGAAGGACGACCGACTTTCTCAGACTTTAATCGCCGGGTTTGGGACCTGCGGGGGTGGCACCTGCGGCTTGGCGGGCTCTGCCGACTCCTGGGCTTCAGCAAAACGTGCAAGGCTGGAGAATACACTCCCGCAATGAGAACCCAACGATAACAAGAGAACACGGCGACTTTGCGCAAATTTGCGATTATGCATACAAAAACATCTTTGCGTTCCCGAAGGGCGACATCGGCAGTTTGGCTCGCCAGCAAGCAATACAACTCGATTTGGCCCTCCCAGTTTGCATGGCAAAACCGTGAAAAAGAGGAAGTGCCGTGGGCAACTGTGTCGCTTGTAGCCTCGGTACGCATGTTAAGAGTCCAGAGGATGGGAGGCAGCGCAGAGTCGGGAACCGGGGGGAAACCTTCCGGAGTGAGGCTGATGAGGCTGGCTGCAGAAGCTTGGAAGTGGGCCTGAAGGCAGTGGCGGGAGATGGGCAAGAAGGCTAATGCGCGAACGTTCTGCCGGCTCGGTAGCCAGGACGTGACCCTGGATCCCAGATAGAAACGTGCGTGCGCGTGTCTACCCGAGTCCAGAAATCCTGAAGCTGTGCTCATCTGTGCTCAGCGCCGAGCCCCGACAGCAATCAGCTGCCTCTGCGGCGCTTCCTTCTCCGGCTCGGGTGCCTGCATCTGCATGAAACGCAACTATGTCCTCGACTCATCCTCGCCTGAACGAAAGCTTGGGTGCATCATCGAACATGAAGCCTGCAATTTACTTTTCAGGTTAGGGTTTTGCGCTCGCCTGTACTTTTGCCGCAGTACTTGGGACTGCTGCTGCCCGTGAGAGCGGGCCGAGTTGGTCCAAGGCCATCTCCTGGCACCGCCCGCTTGAACACAGACCGGAGCTTCAAGAAGTTGTCCTATCACTACGCGATTTACGCGTACGGTCCGCAGGGGTCCTCAAGGACCTTCTGCACTTCCGTGGCCGCCTGGAGTCGAGGTCGACTTCTCTGACCGACAAGGGGCAGATGTGGCTCCGCCTCGTACTCCTCGCCGTCCTCGCGTAAGGCTTCCTCGATGCTGTCCTGGCGCGGCGCGAGCACCAAGGACTCAAAGGATGCCTCCTGAGGGCTCTGGCCACCGCGCGCTAGTCTGCCTCAAGCCCTCTCAAAACCCGGCGAAGCCATCATCGGCCCCATCCTCGGCATCAGCACACTGCGCCATCTGCATCCGCATATCCTGCTCCGAGGCCGTCGCAACACGTACACAATAACACAAAACAAGTAGTAGATTCAATCGGAAGACAGGGGCAGAGACACTCAGACAGCACACACCGCATGGCAAAGCAATCCCTACATGGGACGCTGACATCTCATCAAGTTCGCAATTTTGTACAGCCTTGACTGTGCTGCCTGGTTTTGTTGCGCTGTTTTTGTGTACCCCCCCGCCCTCGGAGTAGGTTCAGAGCCAGGGCTCCCGTTGGCAAGTTGTTGGGTCCTCAACGCTGCTCGTTATGTTATAAGATGTTATAAGCCTGTGCTTGCTTCCAAGCACCTTCGGCTATGCATCATATATACCGGTGGCCCTAAGCATGTTCGTTGCTCCGAAGACTCCCTGGCAACTTATGCATCGTTTGATTTAGCAGATTTAGTTGAACTGACCAGCCCTACTGCGCTTGCTTACAGGATCCGCTTTCAGTGCTTCCTTGCTTACTGAAGGACATGCTTGCCACGTTTATGTTTGGCAATGAAAGAACTCTGGGGGACACGCCGAACGGAGACGAGGACCCGAGTGGCCGAACGGAGTGCAGGAAGGAGGCAGGGCAGAGCAAAACAAGGCTCCATTTCTAGGCTCTCCTGGTATACGTATCTCTAGCAGTAGGGCGGCCGACTCTAATGCCCGCGCCTTCATGGTCTCGCTGATCTCCGGGATACGTGCGATGGTATTCATCTTGCGCATGATGTCCCTGAACTCGCAAGGCATATCGCCTAGATAACGAATAATTCTCTGCTCTTATCAAGCTATCAATAACGACAGCTGCGATCGAGTTGGGACTTTGGCTTGGGTATCTCCCGAATCACGAATTGCCCTCCGCACAGCCATGACTGAGGGCCAAACGATGAGAGGCGGATGGATGCGCTGGTGGAAATGGAGGCCATGTGCGTGGTGAGCTGCAGCTTCACCGCTTCCATCGAGGCCTCCCAGGCGTTCGCAGTTCAAAGCCTCGGAAGCCTCAAGCTTTGGAGTAGCAGGCGTTGGATGCCACGTCCAGGAAAATTAGCCCGGCAGCCCGGCCGTCACGAAACAATCCTACTGTTCCGAACCTCGAGGCAGCTCTTAGCTGCCTTCCCGAACCAGCTTGCAGCAAATGAAATAGAACACCCGAAGACTTCGAGCTACTGGAAGCAGCTCGCAGTTCTTTTCTCGAATCCGAAGGTCCAAACCTTTTCCGGCTGCTTGGGCATTGGCTTCTTGACCTGCAGGGCATGGAGCTCTACTGGCAAACGGTCCCAGTTTTGGTCCCAGCGCGCCTGGGGTGCTTGAAAGAGCCAGTCTTCGATGACCAGGTAATCAAGATCCGGGAGGGTGTCCAGCATCTCAAGGCTTTCTCGAACAGTATTCACGATCGGCTTTCCTCTGGAAGCTCGTGTTGAGGCAGCCAAGCCAGTCATCCTGCCTACAGCCAAGAGCAGTGAGTGAATCCAGGACTCATCTTCCCTGCTCTCCGACTGGGGCCGCGCAGTGCCATCCTATAGTGCGCCAACGCGGGGAATCAATCGACCCTGCATGGACATGCGCACACGTACAGCAAATTCCATAAATGTGCTCAGAACCACCCGGCCCACAACCTCATTGGAGCCACAGGGCGGTACCACTAGCGAAACTTCAATCGGTTCAGGCGCCTCTTCTCATAAATGTCTGGCAGCCAGCAGTGACCTGTGCCCAAGCGCGCGTGGACCAAATTCCAGTCGCCCTCGATCAACTGCAATGATGGGCTTGCCCCCAGCACTGCGAATTTGCGTGAGTCGGCCAAGAATTCCACACCCTTCAGCTCCGCCAAGCGCCGCGCACCGCGTCGCTCCGCCTCCAGCAAGATCTCTTCATCGAACAAGGGAAAGTCCAAGTATTGCAGTGCTTGTGGAATTCTGGGGGGCTGCACAGCCCATACACCACGTGCTGCCAGGCCGGCATCATTGGGCGCAGGCGCCATGTACACATCCAGGGATGATCGGCATAGGAACCGCCCCGTGCTCCCTGAGTGATGCTTTCTCGAATCAGCTGGTTGGCACGAACGTTTAAAACTCAGCCACCCGTCAAAACGATTTGGACCTCGGCAACCAATCGCATCTGTCCCTCCGAGGACGTGCAAGACAGCGCTAGCACTGTGCTAGCACATGTGGTGGGAAGAGCAGCCTGTAAAGGGAACTCAAATCCCTTGTGGCTTTGTCCTGAAACAATATTTCGAAGTACTCTTCCACCTCTGCTTGCTCTTGGAAAGTGAGTCGTCCGGGCTTTCGGAGGCCCGAATAGCCCATCAGCTTGCCAGCAAAATGCAATTGGACATGCTGGTGATAGACAACGAACTCATAGCAGACATTGTCCGTGGCAAGTTCATCGGCACGCCATCTCTGACAAAGAAGGTTGTGCATCATCTTGAGAACTTGCGTGCTATGTCCGGCAGGAGCGTGTGGAAAGTTCAATAGAAAGTCCCAAAAGGAGAATATTGGCTTGCTAAACGCCATCATCGCTGCCAAGGTCGTAGGAAACCGCTAGGGCAGAATTGAAAGGCGAAGCGTGATAGCCTAGCAGAGCGTGACCTTCATGGTAATGTACCTGACGCCATCTCCCAACAGTCCCGAAGATTTCCTCTACGAGCAGCGGAGTCTGGGCCGTGACTGCAGGCTTGAAGACTGTCAAGTCTATGACAACCCCTTCTGCAAACCTGGTTGGGCAGGGCACCATCTTCACATGCGAATCCATCACGCACAGCGGCGCATACTTTCCACATGTTTCCATCATCTGGATGGCTGCTACGAAGACACCAACTGCTGTCTTCCCAGCCAGCAGTCTCACTTTCGACGACCATTACGTAGTGGGTAGTGAGTGCATGAAGTTGAAAATGTGTCTTGCCATGAGGGGCTAAGCATCACTACTTCAGCGGCAGCTCGAAGAATCGTCTAAAGGCACATCGCGTTCTATCTTTTGACCCGCTTGCACTGGTCCGCTCAAAGGGGCCCCCTTGGGTTCGAGCCATAGGGGCCACGGACGGGTGACACTAAGCTGCAAAGTCTGGGCATCCTAAAGACGCCCTTACTAAAGCTTCAGCTGCATCCACAAAACTCCTTTCGAGCTTAGCTCACTCACGTTGATGTGGTCCTGAAGGCTCGAAAAGCTCCTCTACGTACTGGTCCCACTCAGGTAAGCTCGGCGACGTCGAGGTAGCAGCCTCCTGCAACTCCTTCGCTTTGCGCAGCCTCTGCTGTTTCCTGCGCTGACGAAGTCGTGGTTAAACCTAACCACCCAAGTCTTCCTCTCCAAGTAGGTGGCGGCCACCTTGAAGGCTTCCAAGGTAGCTTTGGTCAGCGAGTCTGCCAGGTTGATGTCGGAGGGAACCCATGTGAGATAGCACCGTCCATCGTCACGTAGGGCTTTCTGGATGGCAGCCACTTCGACTCCCGTGCGGCTGTTTGCCATTCCCAGAAGTGGCGACTCTGAGCTGCTCACGGCATCGTACAGCCCTCTGGAGTCCGTCACCAAGAGTGACTGGTCCATTGACGATGCCAGTCGCACGGCGTTCTTGCGGTTGAGCTCCTCGCCGTTCAGGATCGCCCAAAGTAGCCGCACTCGCCGCGATCTTCTGCTTCAAAAAGTCCCTGACTCTCTGTAGAGTTCGTGCTTTTGGCTGGGCGGCCGAGCTTCCAGCTCCTCCAGTCTACGATAGACATCTTTGCCTCGGCTCCCTGAAGGATGCACGGCTCTGCGAACCCAGTGATGTATCCTCCTGTAGAGGAACCATCCCCTCGGCTTTTGTGGCCTGCGTCTCCGAAGTGGACGGCCACAACGTCTTTCCACGTGAGTCTCTCCTCCGCGGTCTTAAGTTGAAGGAGTGGAAGTACAGGTCTTCCTTGGCTGTCTTCTTCATCTCCTTCAAGATGCTATTCGCCTCCTTCAGGTCGAATGCCCTTGGGTCCGTGAGCGCCGCGGCGGCTATGCCCACTCGGGCACAGTACTGGAAGCCTCCACTGGGCTTATATGATAAGCCCGCGGCACTGGCTGATCTCCTTCTCGGACAGCTTGTGCTCTGCGCCTCGTGGGCAATCCACTGGCTGCAGGGCATTGGAGAAAGTCTCCTGCATCACCTTGATGGAGAAGTCCTGAAGTTGCTGGATCTCCAGCCCAGCAAAAGTAAAGGAACCTTGCCGCCAGGGGCTCCAGACATACATCTTCTTGAGCGGCCTGCCACTCTGGATTCCTCATATCTCCAGCGATGACGAACTCTGCCATCCACCTTGGTAAAAACCCGGATGCGCTTGTCGACGCGGTTCCGTCGCCCTCCGACTCGGGTCACCTTCGTATCGGTGTCCTGCCAGAACACCCGGAGCGCGTTGGTCAAGCCATAGAAGGCACCGACCACTTCGGGCCCGCGCCACTTCCGGCACCCCTTTCGTACACAGCCTCTTGGCGCCGCTGTCTGCGTCGGCCTGCAGAAAGGCGCTCTTCCGAAGAGCGCGTCGGCACATTCTACGGTGTGTCCGTCCAGCGCTGCTCCCTGCAGGAGCAAGTTGCGCTCCAATCGACTCATCGTCGGGGAGGCTGTCTGTAACAGCCTGGCACCTGTTCTTCATCAGCCCGCCTTTGCGTACTGTCTTGTCTCCTGGAGAGGCTGGCTCGCTGAACGGCTTCCAGGTGAGTCGCCAGCACATTGGGATAATCCTGTCCCTCATGGTCTCCTCGTCGAACAGCTCGCACGCTGCTCGAAGAAGGACCTCCGAGACCTGTTTGGCCAATCGCCTCTTCCACGTTGGCCTTCTCATCGGCCGACAAGTTCTTGAAGTTCACCTCCTCAGAGGCTTTGGGCCCGACCAGCTTATCCTTCGTATAGATCGTGCCTCCGGCCACAAATGCGTTCAGGTCGTCCACCTCGAACTCGATGAGCATGGCCTCCTCGCCTTTGTCACTGGCTTCGAGTACCTTCTGCACCAGCTTCTTTTCGGAGGCTCGACACTCCTCGGCTTCGGCCTTCACCTGCTTGATGTACTCTTCCTCCTCAAGCTGCGCTCCTTACCAGCTGGTACACCTCTTCATTGAGGTAGAAGTTGGCCGGCAAACATTGTTTTGCCCTTCCACTCAAACGCCAGGGTCCGATCAGGTTGCTCCGCTTGCTTGCGGTCGTCCACAAAACTCCCTCTGGCGTTCGTGTCCTTCTGGATCCATTGGGTCACTCTTTTGCCAGTCAGTTGCCCAACTTCCACTGGTAGTGGCATGTTCTCCAGTGGCACAAACAGCCTGGTTCGCCACGAGTTGCGGTGCCGAATCAGCACCCTGGCCTCGTCGTCCACCTCCCAGGTATCAGGCACAGGCGCAGACAAGTTGGGGAGTTTCGTCAGCAGCGGCAACCCATCCTTCTTCCGGCCTTCATTGGCTCCTTGTGAAGTTGATGCCAGCGTGTGACCATCTCCTGCACAGTCTGCTGCCACGTAGAGGGGCTGCGTTCCTGCCTTGAGAGTCTCTTCTCCCTCGACCTCAGGCGATCGGCCCGGCAGCCTCTTCCACTCCTCGTATCCGTTCGGCTGGCGGCGCGCTGAAGACAGAGATGTTTCCACTTCCGGGGCACCGCGTTGGCAGGGCCTATTCTGGGAGGTCCAGGTCCTCTTCCATGCCCGTGCCTCTGCTGAGGTCTCCTGCTCGCTTGCAAAGCGCAGTTGTTCAGGAGCACATCTCCAAAGCGAGGCTCCGATCAAGACCCATAACAGAGGATCTCCCCTCAGGAAGAACTGCTGGCTCGATAAGAGCTTTACGGCCTGGTCCGATGAACCGGGCGGATTCACACGCCCCTTCGAGACTTCAGCGTGGCTTTGCGCCACGCACAGACCCAGTCTTTTGTTGGAAACTGTTGGCTGGCCTCGGGGCAGCATTGCGCAGCCTGGTGAAAAATTCTCGCACTGCCTCCTGTGCGCTGGATCCACGCCGTAGGCCCACTGTATGGGCGTGAAGCCTTTCACTTTCAAGGTGTGGTTGGCAGCCATTGCCGCCAGGTGCCCCACCACTGACGGTGGTAGGTTCGGCTCCTGGTTGCGAATCTTCATCATCGTTTTCTTGGTTGCCTTGACCGCCACCTCGACACCGCCTAGTTGCCAATGTGCTTCTCCGGGGTCACCGACCAACCTATCCCAACACTGGACAGGAACTCCGGGAAGTCACCATAGGCCAGGCTGGTCTGTGGATCACACAGAACCCACTCAGGTCGAGGTCGGTGCTGCAACCAGGTAGAGGCAAACACCTCGATGAACTTAACTCCGGGTCGGCCCCAGACTCACTCATCTTGCCACACCAAAGCACCTTAACGGCCTGAAACCTCCTGCGGTCAGGTCGATCATTAAGAGGTATCGGGCCTTCATGGCAGCGCGCCGACAAACTGCCACGGCTGGGGCTTGGTCCCCACAGAGACCGACAGCACCAGTTGCTCTGGCATCAATGCAGGCCTGGCACGTCAGGTTCTTGGCCTCCTCCACCACCCGGTCGCGCAGATGCGAGCGAGCCCTCGGTTGGGTGGATGTTTCGCGGCCTTGCACAGCCGGCGCAGCCATCTCTTTTGGAATCGGGACTCCCTACAAGTCGCAGCCGTTACTTCCTCGTCTGCGGTCGCTTGGTCCCAGGCCGCCTCCGGCACGCGCTGGCTTACCGTCACACAGATATTCAACTTCCTGTGGAAGGCCTCGTCCGTGTGAAGCACCCACCACGTCTTCCTCAGAGGACGTCCCTCGGAGTCTTGAAGCCAAAACATGCAGCCGTCGATCTCCGTCTCGTACAGCTTCTTCTAGTGCTTCGGCACATTGTTCTTGATCTGCTCGATCTCTTCAAGGCCCCAGCACTCGGTCGCCTCCTTTGGCCACTCGATGTAGAAGTGCGGGGCCACCTCGTTGTCCATCAAAGCCTTGAGCAACTTGATGAGGCCCTGGACCTGCTTCTTGGCCCGATATCTTTTCCTCTTTCGGTGGTCCTGCTCTTTGGCCGCGCTGTCGAACTTCAGCCCGACCTGGTAGGAGCTGGTGAGGCTTGCCCAGATCCTCCAAGGAGGGTCTACCTTTGCTTCTTCGATCATCTTCTTGACGCGGTCCTCGTTGGTCAGGTCATAGCCATCGGACCAGCTCTTCTTGTCCACCGTGAGTCTCCTTGACTTGCCGCCTCTTCTCAGGCTTGACTCTTGCTTGTCAGTGAGCTCCCAGATCTTCAAGGGCCTCAGTGACGAAAGGATCGTCGCCAGATCCAGCTCACTTGCCGCCTGAAGCAGCTTCTCCCGTAGCTCTTTGGTAACACTCTCGGTGTTTTCCTCCAGCCACGGTCCCTCTGGCTGGGACTGACCACTCTCATCCATTTGCATGGCATCCTCAGACGCATCGGGCCTTTCTCCAGCTTCCGCAACTTCCTTAGAAGCCGTTGCTTTCGGGCTCCTCTTTCACTGCTTGGCTGGAGGGCTCGCCTTGGGCGGTGGCTCCTTGGCAAAGTTGGCGGTAGGAAGCCTTCGTCGTCCTCAAGGTCCTGGTCCGACCCTGGATCTGCTTCGGCCCGTTTGCTCCTCGTCCTCGTCGGCGGTCCAAATGTCGACGACCCCTTTGCTTTTGCCTTCGTCGCCAGCATGGCCTTGGCGACGATCGCGATCATGGCCTTGAGTGGTTCCCCGGTGCGTGCTCGCCCACGCACGGCCAAGTTGTCCTCTTTGCTCGAGGATCCCTCTCGCCCACGCCGATGGCCCTCGTGTGGCCGGAGCTTTCGGCTTCCGCTTGGCCTTCGCCTTGGCGCTGCTCGCGGCGTCCGCCATGGCCTCGCGAACCGCCTCGGCGTTCAGCTTGGAGTCCGCCATGGTCGAGGTTCCGGGAGGGGTTCTCGGATCTCTTTCTACTCTTGCGCTCGCTCATCTCCCAGGATGTAGAGCCCGGTCACAGGAACTCCAACTCATCCAAGGTGAGCTGCAAATGCTCTGCGTGATGGCTGTCCTGGTTCACTGGCTCACTCTCAGACTGCTCAACTGACAGACAGCACTCACACCGGTTCCCTTCATCAAACTCCAACAGATACTGAAACAGCTCCCTGTTCCCAAACTTCACCGTCTTCTTCAACGAACCAGTTGCCTTGGGAACCCACTTCCAAAAGGTCTTCCGTGGTTTTGGACTTTGCGATGGCAAAATTGATGAGGTAGTCTCAGTCTTAGTTTTTCCCTTAAGGAAAATGTGTTCGACAAAGTCCAAGACCAGGTGGCCTTTTGCGGTCTTCCTAAGCATTCTGCCTTCCTACCAGACACCTGCCCGTAGCACAACCCAGGAAAGCATTGAGATAGGCAAGCTCCTTCATTCCTAAAAGAACTGGCACACCTTTGCTAGGTAGGGCAAAGACGGAAACCTTTGTCTCCTTCTCCGAAATGTTGACCTGGTACAAGGCTTGACCCCAGGCACCCGAGCCGTAACGAAAGTATGGCCGCACCGCTCACTTCGAACTTCACGTCCGGCCACGCTGCTGCGATTGCAGCACACAGCTTCTCTACTGCCTCCTGGCCTGCAGCTGAGGCGGTTGCCCCCGTGTGCTCAGAAGCTCCTAAAGCGCTAGCCCCCTAGTGGCCGCTAAGCAGTAGTCCGTCTCGTGAGGAGGTGAAAGTTGGTGCCGCCCTTCATCTTGCTGCCCTTGTTGCCCTTGCCGCCTTTGCCCCAGGATGGGGTGCTCCACTTGCCTTTTCCTTTGCCAGCACCTTTTGCAAAGTGTTCCTCCTCAGAGTAATTCACCTTGCCTTTCTGCTGGCCGCTCTTAGGCGGCCCACCGTGCTTGCCGCGGCCCTTGTTCATGTATGTCGAGGTGGGCTTCTATGGCCGTTGTGCCACGCCCCCGCCCCAACCTCGGTCCTTCACGGCCGCGGCAACTGCACGACGAGCGTCTTGGAGGTTGCGGTCGTTCTCGGCCAGCATCGCCTCAATCTCTTGCCTTTCCTTCTCGATCTCGCGCTGGTCCTCCTAGAGTTGTACCAAAGCCGAGTCTGGCTCTTCGTCGGCCTCGTCCTCGGCCTCTCCCTGGACCCATTCACCGTCCCGGCCCCCATAAAGGGCCCACTGGTCTTCCGACCACCAGGTGCCCTCGACGTCCTGGTAGTAGACCGAACCATCTTCATCATGCCATCCTTCTGGGTCCATTTCCTCCGTCCAGTAAGCATGTCTTCTTCCATGCCCGAAGTCTAGAGCCGCGGTCTTCGCACATGGAGAGGAGGGCCTGCTTAATCTCATGGTACCCGAGCTTGTTCCGGGTCGCCGCCTTGATGCGTCCTCGGTCGAGGTACTCATCTCCAAAATCATCCAGCCACGGATCACGTCCAAAGCGGCGAGAGGCATAAGCCCCTTCTCCATGAGTCGTTGCAGCAAGTCTTTTCCTTTCGGCTTTTGCGTTCTCCTAGCTTGTCCTCCTTAGAGGACTGCTTGCTGCGAGCGGCTCTCTCTAGAGCTGCTTCGGCGCCCAAACGTGGAGCGCGAAAAAGGTCTTCCTCCGGAACCTTCAAGGGTAGCGGTCCTCGAGCCTGCCTCGTCTTCAGTTCTTGGTCTGGGTCGTCTTCTTCGGCGTCCAGACCCTCAGGTGGCCCGAAGTACAGGGAGGTTCCCTCAGGAATCGCACAGAAAGCCTTCAGCTCACCAAGCTCCACCTCGTAGTCGTCAAAAGTCTGCTCCCGCTCCCTAAGTAGCTTCTGAAGAGCATTCAGCATCTCATCGTGGACCCGGTCCTCTCGCACGAGGAGGGCGGGGATCGCCTCGTTGGGCTTCTTGTGCAAGCGCCGGTAGTAGCCGCCGATCTTGGTGCCAGCGTCTGGCAGCGGCTGTCTATTCATCGGGCTTACTTCCAGGAACTTCACCAGCTTGTCCACACCGTCTTCCGAGTTGAACTCTTCCGGATCAAGCTTGTAGAGCAGAGCCACCAGAGTCGGGTGCTCGCTCTGAAGGGCTCGCTGCACTATCCTCGAAGCGAGAAGTGCACGCTTGGTGCTGTTCAGAGCCCAGCGAATCTCCGTCACGAAGTGGCTGAAGGTCTCGGGCTTTCCGTTCCATGTCGGCACGAAGTTCTTGCCGTCAAAGGACTCGTTGGACCTGCTTTCCCCTTGCATGGCTCCCTGAGGTAGCCTTTGGGCTCTCGGTCCCTGATCGAACCGGCGGTAGCTCCTTAGAGCTCCGCTACCGATTCAGCAGCAGTTCGAAGAATCGTCTAAAGGCACATGGGTGGTTGTCAAAATTATGGTCCCTTTTTGGGTCCTTATTATAATACGGCACTTAATATTTAGGGTACCCAAAAAGGGACCCTAATTTTGACAACTACCTACATCGCGTTCTATCTTTTGACCCGCTTGCACTGGTCAGCTCAAAGGGGCCCCCTTGGGTTCGAGCCATAGGGGCCACGGGCGACACTAAGCTGCGAAGTCTGGGCATCCTAAAGACGCCTTCACTAAAGCTTCAGTTGCAACTACAATGCTTGGGAGAGCCACGGGGCATAGCACAGATCGGAGCTTAGCTCTGCAAACGGCAAATATATAAGCGTGAAGGAGCGTCTTGATGCAAATCACAACAGCGAGTTACAACGGTAACGGAGATGGCGAAAGTAGCTACCTAAAATGCATGCAGGGTCGGATTTGCTACGTATGCGGTTTGTCAATCGGAGTTCTAGCAACTCTCACTTGGTACCAGCCACGCGAGGTTCTGCGATTGTTGGCAAAACTTCGGCCTTCGTTTTCTCCAGCCTCTGTACTGCTTTCCTTGTCTTCACCACGGACCTCAAGCAGCATCTGGTCTGCGATTGCGGACACATCTTGTTTTATCAGCGACTTGGCATTTTGAGGTGCTTGCGTTTACGGCAACCTACAAGCAGTCTACAGTACGAAGGAGTTACAATGAAGGGCTGACCGGAACCACGAATTTGAAGTGAATCATTAGCCCGTAGAACCCTTCGGACTATCTCAGTTTCAAGCAGCGCAAGGCTGCAGAAATGCTGCAATGATTGACCACGACTACGCTTCAATCCAGAAATCCACCTGCATGACGCACCATTACATCGACGAAACTATTCAGGAATGTCCTAATACCTTGCCAAAATACACTGTACACCCCACGCCAGGCGATCCAAACCCTCAACGACCTAAACCCGCCCTTAAATCGATCGGGCACAGACTTTGCAAGGAGCTGCACTGCTTCGACGTTGCCCTTCTCGGCCTAACCAGACATCTCCGAACCCTCACACAAATTTTCTCGAGCTCAAGTCCTGAATGCTCTCTCATGTTTGGGGTCGGGTCGAACGGCTCCCTGCCATGCGAGTCCCTGTAAGCTCTACCCTGCAAGGACGGGAGTGTTTCTGCACCCACCTGCAGCCGGATCTGATCTTGGAGCTTGGCCTGGTCAGAGGCGGTATCCAAGTGTCAATCTTCTGCGAGCCCGACGAGCGGTCTCAGGAGCCGGGGGGCGAGGTGAAGGGTACGGTTTGGTTTGTAAGCATTCGGGGAGAGTCTGCAGCAACCTCATGTTCAGATCATCTTGCAGGGCACAAGCTACAGATTGAGTACAGCGCCTCAAGCAGAATTTCTGCGCCTCATCTTTCTGGATCTTGGCAATCTCTTTGTCCAGGTGCTTGGCCTGCGGAAGGAGGGAAGTTGAATGGACGTGAAATCTGAGCCTTGCAGACTGCAATCCTGTCCTTCGGCTAAACCACTAGCTAACATCTTGTTCGCACCCGCCGTCCCAGCAGTTGCGAGAGTCTTTGCAAATCTCAATGGGGCTGTCAAGACCTGAAGACACGTCCCCACATGCCTGCACAAACAACGCGCTCCAGACTGAGCTTGCGAAGCGGCAGAAGCCGCTGCGCATCGAAATTCTACTTCCTTTCGAGGCCCTCTGGCCGCGGCCTCCCGTCCAAGCTCCCACTGCCACTCCTGTGAGCTGTGCGGCAGACGGCACTTAGCTCGGGATCTTTTGCGACGGATTCTTGTATCAGGTAGCGATGAATGTTACACGAAAAATGATTGGACAAGTTGCTCGAGGCAAGCTTTCGACAGGGAGGTTTAAACCGTCCTCAACTCCTCAACCCTGTTCCTTGGGTTCATCGCCTTGGATTGCCGCCCATGCTGCCAGTCCATCCGTCGCAAACTAGGGTAACGTCCATGCGACCAGCCCCTCGGTTGGCCAGTGTATCCCTGCCCGAAACGATGATAACATCCATGCTACCAGCCCAACATGTCCATGTGCCAGATACAAGAAATCCGGACGTAGAAGTGTTGTTCGCCTCTCCTGCTTAAAACATGAGACGCCTGCATAGCAGCTGGAGAATGCAACTTTGCGTACTACTCATTCCTTGCCTGTGTGTGCCATGTGTGCCCTCTCCCTGCCGTTTGATTGTAGCGTGCCCGGTTCCGGTAGAGGCTGCAGTGGCTTTCGACAGCCAACCAGGCAACGGCACCTCTAGCAATCCTGAAAAGCAAGCGCAGGCAACCTATAGGATTGACTGTCAGCTACCGTACTTGGACAAATCCCTACCGAGCCAGAGTCTACCAAACTCCGAAATCCAGAGCAACTCCGGGCTCGAAATACCGTGTCTTTATCTTCTGGAAAGTCCAAACGGGCCTTCGCTTTGAGCTTCATATCGAAGATGGAATTCTTCTGGCCCATCCTGTTTACCAGGGCTGCAGAGCAGTCCTGGGCTTCTGCTGAAGCTGTCTACCTCTCTATATCCACTCCACCGCGGCACCAGAACGGTACATGGCTTGTGGCTGCTGGCCTAGGTTGTGGACCTCATAATGCCTGCAGGAGATGTGACCCCCTCTCCCTCGTAGCTCAGATCCCGGCGCACTCGAGGCCAGGCCCGCCGACGGAGGGCAAGCGCTGGTGACCGGTGTGCTGGGCTTCCAACCTGAAGCCCTGGATGCGTAAGTCGGACGAGCACGGAAAGCCAAGGGTAGGGTTGTAACGCTTGCCTAGAGTGGCAGAGTGGATCATTGCCCCTTCAGAGCCTGTGTGCAAAGGCCACGGCGCATGAAAATAAACGTGATGCTGGCAGTAATGGAGATGCTTTGCAGCGCACCTGTCATGAAACTACCCGAGAATCACAGGCCGCACTCATACTCTGCGCACCGAAGCACATTGCTGATGGCTG